GGAAAGGAGGGAGTCCTACTCCCGCTGGGAGTAGGACTCCTCCCTGGCACGCCTCCTCCTGGTCGGCCGCCTCTCCCCCCTTGCTCCTTTATATACGGGGGCAGGGGCACCTCTGGACACAACAATTGATTTTTTGGATCTCTTAGCCGTGTGCGGTGCCCCCCTCCACCATAGTCCACCTCCATAATATCATAGTGGTGCTTAAGCGAAGCCATGCGTCGATAGAACATCATCATCACCACGCCGTCGTGCTGACGGAACTCTCCCTCAAAGCTCGGCTGGATCAGAGTTCAAGGGACGTCATCGAGCTGAACGTGTGCTGAACTCGGAGGTGCCGTACGTTCGGTACTTGATCGGTCGGATCGTGAAGACGTACGACTACATCAACCACGTTGTGCTAACGCTTCCGCTTTCGGTCTACGAGGGTACGTGGAAAACACTCTCCCTTCTCGTTGCTATACATCACCATGATCCTGTGTGTGCGTAGAATTTTTTTTAAAATTACTACGTTCCCCAACATTGCTCACGCGTCCTTTCCTTTTTTGTACGCCCAACTTTTCATCCGGTTGCCGAACTATGGCAAGGTGATCGCCGAACTGACGAGCCGCTAATCGTCGGACTTGCGGCATTTTTTTGAGCAGGAATGACCAAGTTTGAATTTGCCGCGTCTTGGGAAACGACGCCTGGGGACGTGGCTGGAAACCAAATCACCCTCATAGGCCAATCTAGCCCTGGTTCGTTCTCGGACTTCTCTTTTCCGATGCCGTTGGGGGAGGGAGGGGGGAGAAAATCCTATGCGACCTGGATCGCACGCAGCGATCGGGAGACCCGCTCCAACGGTGGGCACTTGGCAAAAAAAACTATTAACGCAGGTAAGGCAATTAATACCCCTAAAAAGGCAAGGCAGTTAATTCCCTAATTCCTATTAATTCACTAATCACATTCTTTCCATCCTGTTTCTCACGGCTTCTTCCTACTTTGTTTTCAGCTCAAATCACTGGCAAGATCACCCCGCAAAAAAAAAAACAAATCACTGGCAAGATTTATCCTTGGTCGTCATTGTTGGGGCTGTTCCTCACGTCGGTCCAACCCCATGTGCCAAGATGCAGCTTGAATAACGTAGACGGCGGGGGAGCTGGACGGAGCAGAGGAGCAGGATGGTGGCCATGCACGGAGCGCCAATGGGCAGTGAGGCAATGAGCAGATGAGCTGCGCCTGAAGGACGAGCTGTCCCGGCACCGAGGAACGCAGTCATGGACATCGGGGCCTCGCGGGAGAGCAGCGGGGGTGACGGCCACGGCGAACGAACCGGAGAAGCGCCTCAAGAACAAGCTTCCGGAGCGCCTAGGGAAGCCGGCCGGAGAGAGCAGCTGAGGCGGCGGGGCGGCGCCGGCTGCCGGGGCGAGCAAGAGGGAAGAAGGAAAGGGGAACCCAGATTACGTACGGCGGCTAGAATAGAATTTAGGATTCGGGATTTGTTAACGAAACAGATGATAAAGGGGAATTTGAGGATTTGCCCCACCTTTCCTTGCACTTTGAGGATTTGCCCTCATTTCTTTTGTAACTTAGGATTTGCCACTACTTTCCCAAAAACTTGATGATTTGCCCTTTATGTCCGGTTTGAGATTACACTACAAAACAGATGACCAATATACCCTCTCTCCAGAACCTACTCAAAGTTCATCTCGCAGCCCACTCGTCGTCCTGTTGTGCTGCTTTCCTCTCTCTTTATGCTCTGGTGCCGTCGTTGAAGCCATCCCTCCTCTCTCCACATGCTTTGCTGCCCACGAGAAGATGCTTCTGCTCCTCTCATCACCACCACCTCCATCCTCTACAACGGCATGTGCTCGAGGGGCAGCCCCGGCGTTCGTCCATGGCGAGATGCTCGGGCGAGGCGCACCACTTGTAGTTGTAGAGCCGTAAGCTCTCCGAGGAAGGTATCTCACATCCCTGCGTTAGTCTCCCATGACAGCGCGCACCCCATTGTCCTTCATGAGCGCCAACAACCGTGCGTGCATCTCCACAGCCGCGGTCACCGTGGCGCGGACACGACGTCTAAGTCGCCATTAGTGAGCAAGCGCAGAGCGGCGCTCAGGGGCCGTGGCGCGAACGCTATGCCGTGCAGCCTCCTTCTATTCATGTGCGCCGCGGTTGCTCGTGGTCGTGGCACCAGCCCTCGCAGCGACGTCCGACACGTACCCCATGTCAGCCATGCTGCTCGTCGTGGTTGTGTGCGTGGGCACCGCCAGCCTCGTGCGGGGTCGTCCAACGCGGTGGTACATGAGGGCCTGCCCGGCGCCTTAACAAGCGCCAGCCAGACAGGTTGTTGTAGGTCGAGCCCGGCCGCTATGGCCCATGCCGCCTCGCCGACCGTGGCCGATTGGCTGTAGATCGATCTCGGCCACTGTGGTTGCCGCGCGCGTAGCACCGTCTGCAGACCGCGGTCGCTGACGCTGGCACTCGCCGCGTCGTCCGCCACAAAGCCTCCACATTGACGGCTGCAGGTCAAGCCGTTGTGGCCGCTAAGAGCGCAAACGCTGTCAGCCGGGCATCCGTCGCGCTGTCCTTGTCGGGGCTGGGCTAAGGTCATCTCAGTTACAAGGGTATTTTAGACATTTTATAGTGGGCTCCCCTCATCAGGGGCATATCATCAAACTGCAGGCAAAGGTGTGGCAAATCGTAAGTTACAACGAAAACGAGGGCAAATCCTTAAAATGCAAGTAAAGGTGGGGCAAATCCTTAAATTCCCCGATGATAAATGGCCCACGTGCTTTGAGATTCGGTTTTACCAGGTGTCCATCGTTGGAGCGGGTCTCCCGATCTCTGCGTGCGACCCAGGTCGCATAGGGGGGGTCCCAGTGGCCAGCCGTTGGTATTCAAAATCCGCCGAAGCGGCAGGCTAGCCGTTGCAAGGGGTTTGAGCCTGTAGTTCTCTCCACGAGGTTAAACTCCGCTGTGGAGGGATCCTCGACGCTTCCGCTCACCGGCCAGTCCCAGTGGCCAGCCGTTGGTATTCAAAATCCGCCGAAGCGGCAGGCTAGCCGTTGAGCAAACGGCTCACACCTATCGGTTCTGCCGGTAACCGACATCCGAGCCGTCCTTTCCACTCCACTTCCTACTCTTCCAGTCTGTCGCATCCACCAATTTAAACCTCCGAGGCGAAGGGAAGGGGAGAGAAGACTTATTTGCATTTCAATCCAATAAAGAAAGAGAAACTTTTCCTTTTGTGCTCCGGCGATTAGGGATTTGGTGGCGGAGGCGGCAGGAGGCTCAGGCGGCGCGGGTCAATCGTTGCTGGGGCAGGGGGACGCGCCGCGTCAGATCCGCCGGAGAGGTAAGCTTTCTTGCGTTTACCCCCGTCTTTCTTGTTCCCAATGGAAAGGTAGAAATCTCCGTTTTCTTTTCCATCGCCGACTCCCTGGGGTTGCAGGTGATGTCGGCCCGTTTGGTGGGGCGGCCATTCGCCGGATCTTAGGAGTTTGCTGTGGATTATTATTTTTCCATATCAAGGGTTCTCACGCGGATTTTGTCTCCGGGGGTTCCGCTACATTGCTGGATGCGTCTCCGATCACGTTGTATTCGGTTTCCCATAGAAAATTTCTTGTATCCGCAATGTGCAAAAAAAAAATATGCAAAGAATGTTGGTTATGACCGAGGATTGGGCGAAGATTGCTAGTTGGTGATGTTGGGACCCTGCCTGCAAGATCTTAGTGTTTCTTGTGTGTGTTGGGGTGGGGGGCGGTCAGATTCTTTTGATCTTTTATAATATGGGCTAGCAGATGGGGGGCGGTTAGATTCTTGTGATATGAGGAACCTTGAAAGGTTCAATTGTGTCCACCACCATTTGCAAGCAGACTAATATTGAACCTTTCAAGGCTCCTCATACCTTGAAAAAATCATATCACAATTTTGAGGAGATACAGAGGGTTTAGTGGTTCAAGATTTGGTTTTGCTCAAGGAGGGTTCTATAGTTCATGATTTGCCTGTGTTCACCCATAACATTAGTGCATAACAAGAATGTCACATACTATCATTAAGATGGAGATGGGATGGTGCAGTCATGTCCTGCCCATAGAGGACGAGACAACCAACCAAGGCTGCCTAGTCCAGGTATAATTAATAAACAGACCCCCGTCGTTTTGGTCTCCTGAAAGCATAGAGGGAAATTCGCCATACGGTGACTCATACTCACTGAGTCATAGATTGGTAACAAAAAATTCCATCCAAACTATTGCTGTCTCTGCGACTCAACTGGAGAATCTCATTACTTGCTTTTACATTCTTCAGAGCCTTTACATTGGCAATTATTGACGATACCACCACCTGTAGCTCCGATACCATGACGAATTTTGTGGATTTTCTGAAATATTTATTACCGAAAAAGGCTTTCGCCCCGCTTTATAAATATTTATTACCTACAGTTGCTAGGGATATACACCGACACAGACAAACACAGCCGAGCATGATGTACAAAATGAGGAGTTTTATTTGTGGTCATGTGGTTGAGGTTACAGTTATTGGACGTTATGTGACCTATTGTAAGCGGTGATACCTCGTACTCTGGTGATGGAGGTTTTGGTAACAAAAGGGGTGAGGTTGGGGGCACACCAAGGCTGTGGTGTATGTAAGTAGTGGAGTCAGAGTAGTACTGGCAACACATTAAACTTGGGAGGGATAGGCTGGTATGCTCGTGAAATGTTGGTGCTTGGTGGTTATTTTTTGATTACTTATTTATGCATCTTTTGCTGAAACGATGATTCTGAAGAAAATCATAGCCTACAAGTCGTATGCTCCATTTCTTAGTGCTGCTTCTATTAGTATTTCTTGATTAATAACCTACTTTGGTCCTCTTTACTTTTCCTTGGCAGCCTATGACCTATTCTCCTTCTGCGACACAACTCGTTGAAGGACTCACTGGGGGTTTGACATTATAATGATTCTTAGACCCTTCCCTGGCTTCTGCTACAGAGTGGAAATTGAATTTTCAGTGTTCACTCGCAATGACAAGTGACAAGGGAAGGACTTCAAAGAAGGCCGCTGAGGGTTCACCCTCTGCTTTGGCTGTGCCTGATGGAAGAGCCAGCAGTGGACCTCAGAAGGGGCAGTTGTCCAATGGGTAAAATAATTGTCAAAGAACCATGCACCAGGTTTTGTATTATACATGTAACTTTATGGATCTGATTCTTTGTACTTTAGGAGGACAACGGGTCCAGCAAGGCGCTCGACCAAGGGAAATTGGACCCTCGAAGAGGTAAAGCTTCGAAATCCGGTTTTGCGTAACTCTTGGCTAAATATATTTTTCAGAAGCATATGTTCTGTTCTTCGGTACTGTAGACTACCTGACTGAGATTTATACACAGAACTTGACTTTGTCCCAAATATTTCTTGTACTCCCTCCGATCCATATTAGTTGTCGCTGATTTAGTACAGACCAGCGACAATTAATATGGATTGGAGGGAGTAACATATTTGGTAATTGTGCATATGTATAATTAATTTAATAGTGCCAGCCATAAATAGTGTACGCTCGGAATTTTTGTGTCTAAATCAGGTACACTCATGTAGTCTGATGTTCTATATGTATGCTACTCAATTGTAGGACGATATACTTCGGAAGGCTGTTGAAATCCACAATGGGAAAAATTGGAAAAAGATAGGTATTTTGTTAACCAACACAACAGTTAGAAAATTGTTCAGTTATTGTATTTGCTAGCACTATTGCTTTAATTTCTGCCACTCTATAACTCAAAAATTTCTCTCCAGACGTGTATTTTATGGTTTGTTGATTTTTGTTGCATGATCCAAACCGACATATCTAAAATGAGGCTCCTTTATTTCACTGCTGCTCCGTGGTTAATAAATCACACAGTGCTCCTGTTAACTACTCAGTACCCCAATTCTACCTAGTTAGAGTTTCTGCTTGAGATAGTATCGCAAGATACTCAGGTTACATTTTGCAAAAGTTTGATTGTCGTGATATAGTCAAAAGTGCCTAGTATTTTTGTAAGTGGGAGAAGAAACATTCTAATTTTGGTTTTTGTGTATTTAGATGATTCCATGTCCATGTTTTATAATGAAAAGAACTGAATGGCGTATTATGGCATCCTTTTCCTGTGCAAGTTACGGTGAACCTCATGGTCGTGTATGTGTTACAGGAACCGACCATAATTTTGCGATCCATGGATTGCCAACTCTTTATTTATTGGGAACATCTTTTGGTTGCGTTGGCTAGTGCATGAAGCTTAACATGGTACCAGAGACCAAGGTCTTTAGTTCAAGTCCTGGCTCTCGCAGTTTATCCAAAAATTTCTGTTGCCCTCCTTTGTGTCCACGTATAGGCCTCTTGAGCCGTACCTCTGAGTCTATCCACATAAGTATAGGTTAAAGGCCAAATTGAACACAGCTTTCACAACTAATATCTGTCACAACATATTGATAGAACCCCAAAATATTAAATACTTTTAAGACAATTTTATGAATATGTTTTGCAACTATCTAACCAAGTATTATTGGGGATATTGGAAGTCGAAGTTTCAAAAGTTTACTTTCCCTCTGTCCAAAAATACAGCCTTTTAGGGAACCGGAAGAAGTATACTATCACATAATTACAGGTTAAAGGCCGAATTGAACACCACCTAGCTGAAGCAAACTCAATCTGTATAGCCTAGATGGATGCCTTGAGTGTTGCATACTAACTCCTAAAATATTGAATCTTGCAATCATGCTGGCTGTAGGGCCCTAGGCTCATGTTCCCAACATATATGCTTTTACTGAAAAAGGCTTTCGCCCCGCTTTATATATAAAGCACCAACGGCATACAGACTGCAAACACCTGACACCACACACACACCCAAGGCAGATACAAGGGAGCTGACGACCAGCAACACTACTCCCAAGATCCCAAAGCAAACAACAAGTAGACAGAAGAGCATAGCTAAGGAACCAAGTCACCGCGAGGAGACAGAGCCGAAACTTGACGAACCAGGAACTCCAGAGCGGTGCTTTCAGGAAAGAAACGACATCGGAGAGCCGCCACCGCCCGATCCACTTAATCGGGGTTTTCACCCGGAGTAATGCGAAGGACGCAGGGCCACCGCGATGGAGCCTTCAGGAAGGGAACGACGCAAGGATGCCGCCGCCATCGGTCTGGCCCGAACCAGACGAGGTTTTCACCCCGGCCACGACCCTCTGCCTCCGCCCAGGGTACGACACGATGGGAGAGCGCCGGCCGTACCACCACCGTAGAGCGTCGAAGGCCCGCCCCCATGCCGCCCTTGCGGCCATGAAAGCGAGACCGTCAACGCCCGAGCTACGAGCTCCGCCCACGAGCCCGCAGCTCCCACCACCAAGGCCACCGCCCTGCATCCAGACACTCCGGAGACCTCTAAGGTACGGGCTTTGAGCCAACCGGCAGGACCTAAGCACCATCGGAACGGCCGGTGGCCGTCCCACCCCGAACCCCGATCTGCAGCCAAGAGGCACTAAGCCTGGAAGAGAGGGGAGGGGGAGCGGAGCTCGTCTGGACCGGCACAGCGCACCCCTGCGCCAGTGACAGGTAGTCGGTCTACCCATCCCTCCATCAGCCTCCCCTGCGTCACCCCTGACGCCCTACCACGGCCACTGGCCAGATCCAGGCGAGGAAGAAGCAGCCACCCGTCCGCCGGCGAGGGCCACCAAATCGGCTGCACCCAGCCGCCGAAGAGGGCCTCCAGAGGAGCCAACAACTTGACCCGCACCTCTGCCGTGACGCCATGGCGCCCCACCGCCAGGTACTATCACCCGCCTCGAGTAGAGCCGCCGCAGCCCACGTCGCCCACACGGCAGAACCAGCCAACGCCGACGCCTCCACCCCGGCCACGCATCCGCTGTGCACCGCCCGCGTCCAGCCCACCACGCCTGGCCTGCCGCTCCGCAGCGCCACCATCGAGCACCGCCATGCGCCGCCGCGCCCCAGATCCGTGTTTCACCGCCGCTCGGGGGCGCCCGCCCACTCCAGGTCCCCACAAGCGAGGAGTGAAAGGGCCCTGCCGCCGCCAGCACCCACCGGGATTTGCCCGGCTGCGCGGACAGGTGGTGGCGAGGGGAGGAAGGGGGAGGGGGGTCGCGCGCCGGCGGCTAGGGTTTTAGTTCACATATATGCTTTTAGTCCACCTCTATGAATGTGTTTTTAGATTTTATCAATTAATTGATGGCCTAACTAATACACATATTTTGCACCAAGAAAGGGTTAACAATAAATATGCCCTCCTGGAGCACTAGCCTCTCCACAGCACCTGACAAACTTGTCTGGAAGTGGAATGAGGCAGGCACCTACACTGCCAAATCTGCCTAGCTCGCCTCCTTCCACGGATCGACGGCCTGCAGCTACTGGAAGCTTACCTTGAAGAGCTGGGCGCCACCGAAGGTGAATTTTTTTCACTGGTTAACCAGCTTGGACCGCTGCTGGACGGCGGATCGCCTTGCTCGGCATGGGCTGCAACACCACTCCGCCTGCCCCTTATGCGACCAAGCACGAGAGACTATGCATCATCTCCTGCTAGATTGCCCCTTCTCACGACAGGTCTGGCACCAAATTCTCTCTTGGATGCGCATGACTTGCACGCCGCCTGACAACAACCGATCCCTGCTCGATTGGTGGCACACCGCCAGGCATGACACACCAGCACCAATGAGCAAGGGCCTGGCCTCAGCGACACTCCTCACATCCTGGATGATCTAGAAGCACAGAAATGATTGCATCTTCGACCGTGCGCGCCCGTCCGTTCAATCCCTTGTAGGCAGCATAAAGGACGAGGCCCGGCTCTGGGCTAGGGCAGGCACCATTGGACTTAGACTAGTCCTCCCAACAACCTGGGATGTACACTAATGACTGTTGCCTGATTGTAAACTACCTCCTCGGAGTACTGTAACTGCTCCTGGTCCTCCGTTTGCTCCGGGTGAAAATCTTGATCCTTTGGATCGGGCGGTGGCGACGCTTCGGAGCCGTATCCTTCTTGAAGGCACCATCTTGGAGCACATGTGTGTCGGCGGTCAGCTTGTGTCCTTGTGGTGGCTAGTTCATGGTGGAAGGCTATGTCATCCCTGTAGTTGTTCTTATTGCTCATCTTTTGCTCGCTTGGGGTTGATGTTGCTGATCTTTAGCACCTTTGTATCTTGTCCTGGGTGTGTGCATTGTGGTGTGGTGGTGTTTGTTTTGGATGTTCGTGGTTCTTTGCTTTATATATAAAGCGGGGCGAAAGCCTTTTTCGGTAAACCCCTCTTTTCAATGAAATGAAACGCAAGTCCCTTTGCGTTTTCTCGAAAAAAAATATGCCCTCCTGGATAATGCTTGTGTTTTTCTTATTTTGCGCACCAATAAATTACACTTTGTACATACTGTTCTCAAACTTCATTGTTATATTATGCTAGCTCCATCTTACAACTGATCTACTAGAAGAAATTGTCAGTATTCTTTAAATATGGTGGCCATATCATTTCAGATATCGCTAACTAGAGTAAATATGATTAGATGTGATCAAACATGCCTTGCACACTAAAGACAAAACGTTCAACAGTTTTTGGCTACACCTACTTGTCTATTTTGTACAAGGCACATTTCATAATAATTTAGCATGGCGTGTTTTGGTGAATATGTTCTAAACATATGATGTACATCTATGTTTTTTTAGATGCATGTACATGAAACTTTTCCCTTGGATTTCATCACGGTTTGACTTAACTTTATGCTTTTGTATGAAGTTTTTTCCCATGACTATTAATGAAAAGTCTTGTTGCATCTTTATCGTAATACGATGCTTGATAAACTACATGTTTTTTCCTTCCAGCTGAGTGTTTTCCTGATAGGACCGACGTTCAATGCTTGCATAGGTGGCAGAAGGTTTTGAATCCTGAGCTAGTCAAAGGGCCATGGTCTAAAGAAGTAAGATCCATATTGAATGATTTTCATTTCTATATTTTAGAAACCAATCCCTAATAATGAACAACATCACATGCCACATTATTCCGTTCGTTGTCCTTCTTTTCAGGAAGATGACATCATTATTCAGATGGTAAAGAAATATGGACCCACGAAATGGTCAACCATCGCCCAAGCTTTGTCAGGACGCATTGGGAAGCAATGTCGCGAAAGGTATGGCATATTAACTCATTTTGCCTTCTATGGAAGTATATGCCACGATAAGTACCTATAATATCAATTCCAGGGATAGTACTGAAGCATGTTGGCTACTATGAAAGTACTTCGTCCGTTCCAACATACATAGCATATTAGGTTTTGCTAGGACAAGCCTTTGACCAATACTATTAATGTAACTTTTGTGATACAAAATCACAACCACAAATAATTACTTTGGAAAATGAACCTAATGACATCAATTTTATGTCACATAAAGTATATAAGGCTTGTACTTTTCGAGACAACGCAAATGGCTTTTGCGTTTCATTGCATTGGAAAGAAAGGGGAATTTACATCCTCCTAGGAGGTAGTTTTACACAGCCAAGAGGGGCTCAGTGGACATCCCAGGATGGTAGCAAAACGACCCTGAGCCCTTGAGCTCCGGCCTTTGCCCAACATCGGGTCTCGTCTTTAATCCTGTCTACCAACTCGTTCAGCGAAGGTGTCACATGGTCGAAAACACACGCGTTCCTATGCTTCCAAACCATCCATGGTACCAGGAGCGCCACAGATTTGAGCGCCTTGCGAAGTGCTGGCGGTGTCGAGTCCTTTGCGCGCAGCCACCAATCCATGAGCGAGCCGTCGTGCTCGGGCGCTGGTGCCGGTAGGCGTAGCCAAGACAGGACCTCATGCCAAGTCTGCCTAGTGAATGGGCACGTAAGCATTAGGTGTCCAATCGTCTCCGGTTCTTGGTCGCACAGAAGGCACCTAATGCGCAGATGAAACCTAATGCGCAGATGTATTTTGAAACAGAGAGAGTATATGTTTTATGGAAAAGCATTGAAATCAGTTGGATGATGAACGCGCTTCGTAAGCCGTCTTCAGCGCGCGCCACGCGTCCGCTGGGCCCACGCGCCGCTTATCTCTGTTCCTCCCTTATCTCTTCCTCCCGATGCGCTGAGCCGCTCGTTCTTTCTTCCTCTTCTTCTTCCTTCTCCACACCGCCCCACACACCAGCGCCGTTGCCCGTCGTCGTAGACCAGCGCCGCCACCACCACGCGTTGCTGCACCGCTGCTACAAACTGTCGTCGCCTAGTGTCGCTGCACCGCTGCTGCAAATCGCTGTCACCGCTCACCTCGTGCTGCCGTAGGCTAGGCTGGGCGGAAGCTGCTGTCATGGCCGGCGGGAGCTGCGTGCAACAGGTGAAGTAGAGCGGGCTCGCCGGCGTTGCAATGAAGCAGCACGGGGCCGCCGGAGCTGCAGTGAAGCGCCGCCGGAGTTGATTGAAATGCCGCCGGAGTTGCAACGAAGCTCGCCGGAGTTTCAATGAAGCGCCGTGGGGCTGTTGAAGCTTAGTCGGCGCTACAATGGAGCACGACCGGCGCTGCAGTGAAACACCGCGGGGATCGCCGGAGTTGCAATGAAGCGACGCGGCCGGCGCTGCAGTGGAGCGCTGCGGGGATCGCCGGAGTTGCAATGAAGCGCCTTGGTCGGCGCTGCAGTGGAGCGCCGCGGAGATGCCGGAGTTGGAATGAAGCGCCACGGCCGGCGCTGCAGTGGAGCGCCGCAGGGATCGCTGGAGTTGCAATGAAGCGCCGCGGCGGGGTTGTCAGTGGTGCAATGGAGCGCCACCGGGGGCCGTCGGTGCCGCCATGGAGCTGCTGCCATGACTGTGTCGTGGTGTTGTCTGATCCTGCGGCTGGGAGTGTCAGATCGGACGGCTCTGGGGGCGACTTAAATTTGTAACAAATCAATCGGCTGATTTGTAGCAGCCGCCATGTTTTTGTGGAACTTAAACTTCTACCATATATTCTATTGATACTAGTAGTTAACCGTGATACTGAATTACTGAAGGTATTCTCTTGATCAATTGCTATGGTTCATCGCATGGTGATTATTCTATATATTTCATATTTTAGCACGCGTTCTTTTATGGGGACGTATGTAGTGCAAATGAACAGTGGTGTAATTTTTGAGGATCACGGCGAACTGGGCACCAAGACAGTATAAAAATTTCTAAGTTTCTGATCAGATATCTGCATTTAGGTGGCACAATCACCTTAATCGTATGTAGTGCAAATGAATAGTGGTGTAATTTTTGAGGATCACGTCGAACTGGGCACCAAGACAGTATAAAAATTTCTAAGTTTCTGATCAGATATCTGCATTTAGGTGGCACAATCACCTTAATCCTGGTATAAACAAAGATGCATGGACGCAAGAAGAGGAGATAAGGCTCATTCAGGCTCATCACATATACGGAAACAAATGGGCTGAACTGTCAAAATTTCTACCAGGAAGGTAACAATTTTACCCTCTGCTAGCGCAATTAGAATTTTCAGTAATGCGATTAGAATTGGAAAAAGTGAATGCTTTGTGAATTGGTAATAATTTATTTCCAGTTTATCTTATGTCTTCACAGTTTGAAAACCTGCTTTTCTATGTTGAATACTTGTATACAAGTAAGAAATGCATCATAACATTGTCCTGTTGGAGTACTAGTGAGCTGGTTTGGACAATAAGGATAACTGAACTAGTGTTTTTATGTTTCCCTGTTAGGACGGACAATGCAATAAAAAATCATTGGCACAGCTCAGTTAAGAAGAAATATGAATCGTATAGAGCAGAAGGATTACTGGCTCAGTTCCAGGGCCTACCAGCTGCTCTATATCCTACAGGGAGTCTAAATGTTGATTCATCATCTGCAATGATGCAGCAAAATAGTGATGGCAGTGGTTTGAATGTTAATCAGGAGGTACAAGATTCCTCGGAGTTTAGCCAATCAGCATTGGCTAATATTTCTTCTTCTCAAGTGGAGCAAGTTGATGAGCCTGTGGGCTGTCATGGGCAAATACATTCCAGTGATGGAGCGCATGACTCTTACTCTTCATGTCAGGAAGCATGCGATACTAAAGCCAACGATGCTGCCTCTACTTCACCAGAGACTCGTCACCAGTTGTCAATCTCTGAAAATGATCCAGATATGCACTGGCAGCAAGACCTTTCTGTAGCCGACTTCGATCTTCAGTCAGAACTGTGGCAGGATATTTCTTATCAGAGTCTTACTGCACCAGACTCCATCAGTGCTGATTCTTTCTTCAGCCCAAATTACCAGCACAGTGCATGCTCATCTGAAGTTGCGAACAATTTTGAAGAACCACTTTATCCATTGCATACATACTCATCAAGCAGGACAGGCACTGTGCATCATCAAAGTTCTGCAACATCAGTACCTCCATCCTTTATTTGTTCAGGCCGTGCTAGCCAGATTGTTTCCAGTGAACTGCCTATAGTACCAGAATCCAAAGAGCAACAGATGACAAGTGTTGAAGAGTCACTGCCTATAGTGCCAGAATCCAAAGAGCAACAGCTGACAAGTGTTGAAGAGTCACACAACCTTTGGAATCTACAACCATGGGAAGAGAAGCGTCACCAAACCATGGTAAATCCGTGGTAGGACAAAAGCAGCATTCAGAATCTTTATGCTATGAACCTCCTTGCTTTCCAAGCCTTGAAGTTCCATTTGTCAGCTGCGAGCTCATAAGCTCGAGTGACCTGCCAGAATATAGTCCTCTTGGCATTCGACAGTTCATGAGGCCATCCATGAGCTTCTCCACTCCACTAAGATTATGGAGCTCCCCTACACGCGATAGGAGTCCTGATGATGTGCTGAAAAGTGCTGCCAAAAGTTCTGTATGCACACCGTCGATAATGAAGAAGCGGCAGAGAGAGCCCCCATCTCCTATTCCAGATGTAAGACTTGCAAAGAAAATGGGTACTGAAAAGGATTGTGGTAGCTCAGCCATGCCATCCACAAGAACTGAGAGATCTTGCAGAGATGCCACTCGAGATGATTCGCTTGATTTGATTCCTGAAAATTCGAAAGATATCATTTATCAGGGTAAAACTGAAGATAATGCAAACATAAATACTTTGGAGAAACGAGAGAGATGTTCCATTACCGAGAGGGATACCGCTTACAATCTAGTGAGTGTTCTCATACTACTGATTCTTCCTTTTATTCATTACCATAATGCCAGGGTATTGCCAATCAATCATGGTAAGGTAGGTAGCATACACTGGGAATATCCCCGGTGTCTGAACTCTGAAATACTGGTTACCAGGGAAGTACAAACTGGGTGTTAACTCTTAAGGTAGCATGGGCAGTTGGCAAATAATTCAGCAACAGGCAATAAAATTTCAAGACTAATGTGAAGCTGGTAAATTTAAACGAGTGTCGTGCTTATACATGTTTCCTTACCTGATCTTCTCCTTGCCAAAATGGCTTAATGCAGGTATCCGCAGGGATTCTTACTGATAGGAATGGTCCAAATCCAGAACGTCGGAAGCTAAATACCCCTACAAAATCTTTTTCTAAAGACATAATATCTTCTCGATCAAAACCAACAGAACTTCTCGTTGAAAAATCTTCAGTGTATATCAATGCTGATTATGAGTATGTAAACATGTAAGGTTTATACTCTCTTATATTTTTCTATCTAAGCAGTTTCTTTTGTTTAATAGACATATGAACTGTATAGTTCTTTAACATCAATCGAATCAGTGTATGTCATTTTTATCAAATTAAGAGTTGACACATGAAACACATCTTGTGCAAACCAATAGCTAAAATATTTTCTACTTTATTCTTTTTTTAAAGAACATGTGCCACCTAACTTGGCTGACACATGGATGTCATGTCACGAATAAATATTGAAAACAATTAGGTTAATACTATCGAATCTTGCCAAAATCATTTCACGCCCATTTTAACTAAAAATTATTGATTCTTGTTCGTATGAATTTTAGACTATCCTACATTACAATTCCAAACTAAGTTATGTTTTTAATTCTGAAAAAGAATACAGATTATCTTATTGTTTACTAAGTTGTTCACTATTTCTTCATGTGTAGTCCAATCCATTATCTTCCATGTTGGTAAATTTAATCAGGGAGATTTATCATGTTGAAGTTTAATTAATTTATTACTTTTCTTATTTATCATTAGTATCTAGGTTGATAAGTAAACATATGTGAAATATTTTTTTAAGTGTACTAGATTGGTAAGTACATTTGCACCTAAACTATTTTTGTGTTGATTTGATCTTCAAACAAATTTGTAATCATGCACCAGATATGTTGTGGCTGCCTGACTTGTATTGTTTCCACCACCACTTGAGCGTTAGCATATTTCTTATCTAAACAAAACAGAAGTATTAAATCTTTTCGTAGTAAACTTTTTCTCGTGTTGCCCCAAGTCTGTTAAGTTGCAATAACAAACTCCTATCTGGTTATAACCATAGCTCTCTCTGTCCTGTTGTAAATTACTACTCCCTCTCTAAAGAAATATAAGACTGTTCACGCTCTTATATTTCTTTACAGAGGGAGTATTTACCTTGTTATGTGGCCTCAATGATACAACAAAAGGAATCCTTTTTTATTGTTGATATTCCTCTAATAGTGTGAGTAAAGAGTTCCCACCATTAATAGTGAATCTCCGAACTGCTATTTTTGCAGACTAGCTGATACCCCAGGAATCAAAAGAGGGTTAGAATCTCCTTCTGCATGGAAATCTCCTTTGTTCACAAACTTCCAGGTAGTTTATTTGCATTACTGCATCATAGAGGCCAGTTATAATTATGTTCAGTACACTTGCAAACAAAAGTTATATTTCCAATCAATACGTTGCTGTTTGGAGTAATACTTGTGCGCTTAAAGTAGCTGTCGTCATGCTGTTCTTTTTAGGATGGATTCTTCATGAGCCCAACAGGCACAACTTTTGATGCTCTAGGATTGGTGAAGCAAATAAATGAGCAGAACGCTCCAGCTCTGGAGGAAGCGCATGAACTCCTGGAAAGTGGGAGCCTATGTAACAAGGAAAGCTCTGATAAGGAAAACATAAAACATATTGTTATCAAGAAGGAACATGCTACAACCAATCAGATATCCAATGTCATGGTACGTAAACTTCACCGCCGCCTATTTTGAATACTACTACTGATGGTTGCTATTGATTGTATTGAAATTCAATGAAAATGTTACGTATGTTGAATTCGCATGAGGTTCCTCGAACCGACGCCATGTCATGCAAGAAGAAAACATAGAAACTTTTTACTGCAACAAAATGCGAACCTTGAGTGCCTACATCATGTTCACTAACTAATAACCTTATTACTTCTGCAGTCGGAAGCAAGGATTCTTGATTTCAACGAGTGCACCACACCTGTGAAGAAGAAAGAAGACAACAGATGCAGCACTTTAGGAAGATCTCCAACTTCCTCTTATGTCTTGAAGAATGTGCGGTAGCGTCTTGAGAAAGCTTTTCTGATGCAGAATCAGTATGTACATGCCTGTAGCTCCTATTAATTAAATTGTATACATTTTTCTGCTTCTTTTATCTATATACTCATTGCTCGTCACTCCTCATTGTCTATGCATATGTCTATTGTGTTAAAACTTTGTCATGCTGCTCGCGGTTAAAGAAAAAGGGCTTACCATATGGTCTTACAATCAAACTTATTTGTCATGGGGACATTTGTGAAAGTCGTAATGCCATCGAGAAGAACACAACTTCATAGTATGTCATGGAAAAATGTCAGATCTCACACTTGTGTTTCCAACCTTGAGTTACTCGGGAAAGGTGGACCGTGCCAGCTGCGAAATATTATTGCTCTAAGATAATGTGTGAATGTCCATAAAATGTCACAGAGAAGAACGCAACTTCGTGTTATGCCATGGGAAAAATGCCAGGAAGGGACATAGTTATATTTTGAACCTTGAGTTCCTTGGTGAAGAGGAATCATTCTGATATGTCGGTTTCTCATTTAGTTTCATTTTTTAATCAAACTTTTGGTGTTTGGTTGTGTGCATCTTCGTTATGTAGAGGCCGGATGTTACTCATCATGCTTTGTATCCGCTTGATGCTACATTTTGAGTTAATAAAAGCGCCATTTATCGAAAAAGCTATATTTCGAACCTTGAGTTCCTTGGTGAAGATGAATCATTCCTGCTGCGAATGAGTACTATCTAAAAATGTTACCTTTTTTTATTTTTACAATGTATAAAATCCAATTTGTGCACAGATCCTTTAAAACTCTTAAGCTCACTTGAGAGGGAGGCTATTGGTTGATTGGGGGATGTGGCTTGTGTGGTGGGTCCTCGGTGTATTGGTCATTTGTCTCGGCGTGTCGGTCTGCTCGCCCAACTCCAATACCGGTTGTATTTGTGTTGCTCACTTATTCTCAATTGGGTTGTGTGGCCTTTTCACCGTCTTATAGATTTGGGGAAGAGGAGGAAAAGCTACCGGCTTAGGCTTAGGCGCCACACAGGCCAAGCGCACCGTTGTCGCACCTTTCGCCTACATCTCATAGCACCGCCAGTCTCCTCGACCCCGCCCAACCGCATACACCTATGCCGCTGTCGTTGGATGGCCTCTGCGCTCTTCCAGCAGATGCGCTGGAGGCGAGGTGGGTTTAGGCCAATGCTTGATGTTGATGGACTCCCCCAGCGTGATTGCAGTTCCTGACGGCCGGACGTTGACGATCTCTATTCGGCTCCACCTGTGTTGCCCTCCCGTCTGGCCTGTGTCGTGCTTGGTTTGTTTTGCTCCATTATATTACTACTCCCTCCGTTCCAAATTACTCGTCGCAAAAATGGATGTATCTAGAACTAAAATACATCTAGATACATCCATACCCACGACAAATAATTTGGAATGGAGGGAGTACTAGTCAATGTGTACGTGCAATGCACGTTAATTTGGAAGTATATTAAGTGCATGCAGATATTAAGTAGAATATTATTTGTGTGTTATTATGTGATTAGCACTATATTTGGCATGAAATTAACTACACGCTAAACGTGTTGAGCGCTCAACTTTGAAGCAGTCTAGGTAGTTGGATTGACATGATTTGATGGCCCAGATTAATTGAATCTATCCTTTTGGGTCTTTTTTATATTGGTAGACTAGTAAACATGTCTGTGCGTTGCAACGAGAGAAAAAAAATTCACATGCGTCTAACTGAATAGCATGACTCAAGACTCCCCACCGATACGTGTACTCTATTTCAATGCGACACACCGCCATCTCGCGGCTTATCCTTCTTCTCATCCTCACTGTCAAAGGGACTCTGCCTATTTGATCACAATGCGTCCAAAAACATAGTAAATCATGTTTTAGTGCTCACCACTTATGCATGTCTGATTTACATGGGTGTCTCAAATCCCACAATTATATGTCTCCCACATGAATCTGGTTTTTAGTGCTCATCGCTGATTTTAATGGATCTCTCAATCCCACAATTAATACGTCCTTATTTTTAGTTGTGCCCTACCAATCTCTCAATTCCGCAATTAAAGCATCCTTATTTTAATTATACCATGGCTATCTCTACTCCTAATGGTTTTATTTTTGTCCAGTTTTATTTTCTTCCACCTCCCACCACCCCTCTCACTGGT